TCTCGATCCCCAGTGAGTCGTGGAGGATGGCTGTTTATACTGAGCCGGGATTCTCTGGAGGTTCCTTCCTGTTAAAAGGGAGTTTTCCTCTCCACTGTCGCTTTATGCTTGCTTAGTATGAGGATTGCTGTAAAGTCACTGACACTAGTCAGTGACTTGATGCAATTTGCTGGGTTTCTTATATAGGAAACATTATTTCTGATTGGCTTAATGAACTGACCTGAATTGGAATTTTTATTATGTGAAGTGCCTTGAGACGCCTCTTGTCATGATTTGGCGCTATATAAATAAACTTGAATTGAATTGAAAGTTGACACTTAACTCTTGTCAACACCACTCTCCATGAGCTCCATCTAGGTGTGCTAACCTGTCAGGGACTTGCACAAACCAGCCAGAGAAGCACTGCTCATGAGACTAAAAACTCCATTTTATTTTGGAGCAGCTTCAAAGTTAACAGGAACTTTAACCTAATCACAGCACAAGACACGCTTTCCAGAAAACAAAATACATTTCAGACACACCAGGTTCAACTTAAATAGTGGCTGATCAGACCACTCTACATACAAGAGGGGAACAATTAACATACAATTAACACACACACACACATCCTCACACACACAAACTAACCAGTCAAATCAATTCAGGTAACTCAAATAACCAAATCATAATTACAAACTTCCTATCCATAAAAAAACATCTACATTAAATTAAACACAAGCATAAACATGAATCTACCCTCCCTTGGGAGTTGGTAGATCCCAGGAGAGCTGATTAGGCTTCCTGAGGAGATGAGCTGCAGCTGTGAGACTCCATGGGAAACTCCAAGTCACGGGTAACTCAAATAAAAGTACAATATTAACACGTGCATTCATAAACAGAAGACTGTGTGCACATCAACCAGTCATTCTGGACAGAACACAGAAAACAAACATTACCAGCAGACCATGTCCCTGAGGTGACAGACACTGCTGTCACACCTTCCCACAAGTGAACTGGGATTGAACCAGTAGAAACCAGGCTAAACTGGCAAAAAAAAAAAAAAAAAACAATCTCAGTCACCACTTTTGCTTTCAGCTCAATACTCCCATAATCCGCCATTGCCATCCTCCATGTTGGACCCACGTGATCAGGTGGCATAGGTACAAAGGGTCAATAAGGCCTAGTCCACACGTAGCCGGTTTTTTTTAAAAACGAATATCCGCCCCTCCAAAAACTTTCATCCACACCACCTCGTTTAAAAAAAACACTGTCCACACCATTAATGTTGAAGGTCCACAAGTACCCGGATAAATACGTTGTTAAGGACATGCCAGACCTGTAGGCGGCAGTGCTTCTCCCGTTCTTAACCTCGTCCTTCATCTGTGGTCTTCCGCAAGGAGCAGTAATTCCGCTTGCAAAAACAAACAAGCAAAAAGCGCTTGGACAATTGATAAAGCGAGCACAGCTCTAAGGGCATCCATGCTGTCGGCTAGTGTAAACACAGGTCGCACACGTGATGTCAGCATTTTTTTGTCGCGGAAAGTGACGTTGCGGACCTTAAAACTCCAGTTTTGTCTGTCCACACGCAGACACCCAAAACGGAGAAAACGCAGATCTTCACTTTGGCCGGAGTTTTTAAAAAGATCCGTTTTCGTGTGAAAAAACTCCGTTTTCGTGTGGATGACAGGCCAAAACGTAGAAAAATATCTACGTTTTGGCAGATCCCCGGCTACGTGTGGACAGGGCCTCAGCCGTGTCCTTCTGAGAGAAACTTCACCCTTCTTGCCTGCTGCTGGTGGTGCCCCAGGACTGCTGTGGCTACAAACAGCTCATCACCGTCAGTGTGTGACTGTGTGTGTGTGTGTGTGTGTAAATGACTGACTGTAGAGTAAAGCACTTTGGAGTCATCGGACTAAAGTGCATGTCTTTTATCATTCATCATTTCAAGGTCTCGTTCACAGAGAAACTATTGCTGGGGTTCACATGACGTTGCATCTACGTCACCAAATGCAGATGGGGGTCTGGAAGCAGCCGGTGCTGCACTCCACACTATTTACTTTGGTGGCTGGGCATTAAAATGCCCAAATTCTAGGCGGTCTACGTTATTACAATCACTCTAATCGGGAAAAAAAAACAAAGGTTTTTTTCAAGTCCTGAATGTAGTGCGCCACAAAGGACCTAATTAAAAAAAATTACTTACTGAAAGTAGACGGCAGAAGTGGATCAGTAATCTACGGCTTACAGGACTTCAAACGGACAATGCTACAGTTTACAGCAATCGCTTTCTAAAAGCTAAGAGATTACTGAGTGTTTTATTAAACAGTTGATTAGAAACAGCCATAAAAACTACAAGTTAGCAGTTTTTCACGTGTCCTCGCTGCAAATTGCTTTCAGAATGCTAATGTTTTTAGCGGTTAGCTTAGTATTGTAATGCAGCTTTTACACCTTATTAAAATCAAACAAATGCACCAGTTTTTTTTGGATTTAAAAGGTATAAAAAGTTACGTTGGGCGTCGTGCAGTATACAGGGGGTTACGAGAGGCGATTAACACCATTACCGATCAGATATCGTAAGCTCGCACAAATTTCTGACGTGTTTGATATTTTGCTCGTCCCTTGTGAGGGTATCACGTTGCTGAAGCAGCGCTGCGAGCAAGCGCACGCGCAAACATGCCTCTACACGCTTCCCTATGAACTCACGATTGTCGTTTTTATTTACAGTAATCCCTCGCTACTTCGCGGTTTGTTCATTGCGGATTCGCTGCTTCGCGGATTTTTTCTTTGGAGCATTTTTCAGGGGGGAATTCGCAGATTCGCGGTATTTTTCACTGATTCACGGTATTTTTCTATGCGAAATATCAAGAAATTCTTGTTTTTTTCCATCAATTTCATCATATAATGCACTTTTTGTAATAAAACTAAAAAAAACAAGTAAAAATTTTTTTTTCTTGAGTTTTACCCACAAAAAGAGAATGTGATCATACGATAATTCAATTTAGTACTGTATGTCAGACAGGTCGGCTGGATTCGGGAGCTGAGCTTGTAGGGAGCGTGGTTTCACAGACGCGGAAGTGATAGCGTCGGTGAAACGCCGGCTGATCTAGGAAACCCCCCGAGCGTTCGAGTGTCAACGAAGTGACACGGAAATGCCGGGCTTTCCAGAAGTAAGTAAGATAACTTACTATGAGCTGATAGTTCGTTGGATTGATCGGTAGGTTGGAAACTCTGATCATGAATCTGAAGAAACGATGACTGAGTGGTGAGCTGGAAAGGCGACTTCCGTTTATAGCCGCGGTTTGTGACGTAGGTGCGACGTGGAGGGAATCCCCGCGAGGGGCATGCTGGGAGTCCCTACTTCGCGGATTTTCACCTATCGCGGCCAGGTCTGGAACGCATCTACCATGATAAACGAGGGATTACTGTATACACCTTTTTTTTCCACACACAATTACAAGGATTGTCAAGAAAGCATGTTTATGTCAAATGAAATTGAAAAAAATTTTGATATACTTTCTTTCTTTTGTCTTCCTCATCCAACCACCAGAGCATTGTTTCAGGCTGAAAACGACTCAGAGGGGGTTCACTCACACTAGAAACTACCGCGAACGCGAACTTGTCAAAAAACAAGTGAAGGAGATCTTTAAAATGTTGATGGAACAAACCCTTTTATCTTAGCACATGAATACCAGCACTAACTAAATGTGTCACCTGATGTCAGTTGATTCAGAAACACAACCATGAAACGGACAATGCTTAAATAATAAATGCATGCTGGAATCAACTGTGTTTGACAAACATAAAGAAATAAAAACCAGCCAGTTAACCACTCAGTCAGTGAAGGGCAGGGCCACAGTCGGATAACCAAATCTTCATTATTATTATTACTAAAGAGAAAAAGCTTTGATGCCGATAACACCCTGTTCAAGTACTCAACATACAAATGTCCTCTCCTTCATTTCTACTGCTTCAGTTTAAAAAATCTTGTTGCCTTTTTCTTTTTCTGTACAAACTAAATGATTTGCATAAAAACAAACATGCCTTACAGATCCAAAAGCCTTTGTATTTGCACTGTACACAAACGGTTAGATACATGTGGCAAAGCGGCTGGGATGAGGATCAGCACCTCCAAATCTGAGACCATGGTTCTCGACCGGAAAAGGGTGGCTTGCCAACTCTGGGTCGGGGGAGAGGTCCTACCTCAAGTGGAGGAGTTTAAGTGTCTCGGGGTCTTGTTCACGAGTGAGGGTAGGAGGGATCGGGAGATCGACAGGCGGATTGGTTCGGCGTCTGCAGTGATGCGGACGCTGATCCGATCTCTCGTGGTGAAGAGGGAGCTGAGCCAGAAAGCCAGGCTCTCGATTTACCGGTCGATCTACGTCCCAATCCTCACCTATGGTCATGAGCTTTGGGTAATGACCGAAAGAACGAGATCGCGGATACAAGCGGCCAAAATGAGTTTCCTCCGTAGGGTGGCCGGGCTCAGCCTTAGAGATAGGGTGAGGAGCTCGGAAATTCAGGAGGGACTCGGAGTAGAACCGCTGCTTCTCCGGATCGAAAGGAGTAAGGTGAGGTGGTTTGGGCATCTGGTCAGGATGCCTCCTGGACGCCTCCCTGGGGAGGTGTTTCGGGCATGTCCTGCCGGCAGGAGGCCCCCGGGTCGACCCAGGACACGTTGGAGAGGTTAAATCTCCAATCTGGTCCGGGAACGCCTTGGGGTCCTGCCGGAGGAGCTGGTGGAGGTGGCCGTGGAGAGGACGGTCTGGAGCTCCCTAGTTGGGATGCTGCCCCCGCGACCCGGACCCGGATAAGCGGAGGAAGATGACGAAGACGCCATGTGGCAAAACTCTTAATGGTAAAGTTCAGGCATTCGCTCCAAATAGAAACTCTTCTTGCATAAATTCTCAAACCTGTCACAGAGCACTTTCATGGGTAACATCTAAATAAATTCATTAAAGCACTGATGGGGCAAGCCCAGGTTAAGGCTGGAAAATGCCCCGACTACTGTTTCTCTGTGTGAGTACCTTTCTCTCGAGTGGATCCAGAGGTCTCCAGTTGTTGGCCCTGAGCTGATGAAGCTCATCAAATTTCAGGCTTATGTTCTCAATAGACAGCTGAAGCATGTCCCAGAAGCCAGCCAGGTCTGAGGCCACAGGACGAGGGCTGATGCCAGGGTTCTTATGAGACAAGAGAAGGGAAAGGAAGAAGAAAGAATGGTTGCTGCATTAAAACCAGGTCATTTTTGTTGTAGGGGCATCTCTAATGCGCTGCTATAGGAAGCTGATAGTTTATGATATAACGACATACTGGTATAACATGACTGGAGCTTATTTTGCTCATTAGAAATGACTGATGCTGAGTTTACACGTAGAATATTTTTTTCAGATTTTGCTTATTACTGCTGTGCTGCATCCAAATGTTTCTCTGGAATACTTTCGCCACGCTCCTCTACTCAGTTTAATGATGTCTGTCTGCTCTTCGAGGAATAAACAACATGATACTCGGAAGATAAACGGTGCAAATAAGGTGACGGACAACTGGACATCATGACCTACGTGCCTCTTCTCTCAACTTGCCAAAATAAAATAAACTTCCTGAAAACCACACACTGCAGATTGTTTGTTGATATGTTGACGTCGGAGTTTGTCCCTGCAACAGCTGCCTTCAGGAGCGCTTCTTCCGAGAATTTTAATTGGTCTGTGCACCAAACAGCTGTCTTACAAACGCGAGGTAACTCACAATCATTCCTTAATATTGTGATATTTGTGCTGAACTAAAACACCAGACAGGATAAGTCTTTCCCCTAACAGTGGTCAGATAAACCCGCACCTCCAGTTTCACTTCACTCTCCAATCAGACCTCGCGGAACAGTAACAGGTGGTGCTGTACGACTCTGCAAAATTTGGTATCGATCCAATACCAAGTAAATACAGGGGCTGGTATTGCAGATACCCATAACAATACCGATACTTTTTACTACTAGTCTAGTACCAACTAGTTTTGTGGGATTTATTAAGATAAATAAGATCAGTAAAACTTGAGTTTCAGACAAGATTGTCATATTGATGATGTATTCATCATCAATATGACAATCTTGTCTGAAAACTCAAGTTTTAATTATTTTGTAAGTTTTCCATTCATAAGTCATGTGTACGATGATATTAAAATACAGGGAACATTTTCAGGCAAATAAAATTTTTTTATTAGGAAACACAAAATGGTTTAAAAATGGTCAACAAACTCAATATTATTTTCTATTTGAAATCTAAAAAGCTGTGTAAAAAAATACCAAACAGCGCTCCTTTTTCGGTTTACCATCATGCAGCCACGACAGTGCTGTCTGCTGTTCTGTGCTTGTCTCGTGCTGGAGCGCTATTTTACTTTTTTTTAAGTAATGGCGGGCTGCCCCATTGACTGACATCCGTGGCGTTCCAATCTCAGTGCTTTAATGGTTTGTTGGGCCAATCACAGTGCTCTTTTAGCGAGGTAGACGGGATGTCCCTGCAAACAAACATGGCTGCCACTTGAAACGGTCCAATCACAGGTATCAGCCAGGCAAACTACAAATCAAGATGGCTGCCATTCTGTAGTGGTCCAATCATGGCGCTATATAGATTTTATGGGCCAATTGCAACACTAAGTAGGTGGGATGTTATTGGGGGGAAAAAAAAACAAACGTGACTAGTCGGCGGTCAGCCGCTCATTTGAAACGGCTTTGGCATCAAGTTTGGACTATTATGACTTTAGCTTTTGTTTGAGTCAAGGTCAGATAGAAGTACTAATGTTTATTTAGGAAAAGGATGTGTTTTGTATCTTCTTTGACGGAGTTTGGTGGACTGCCTCGTTGACCGACATCTGTAGCGGTGAGTACGTCATGGCTTGTCAGGCTAGAAGAAATGGAATCGATACCATCACGCGGGTATTTAATAAATACTCAATACCAATGTTAGATCGATACTATCGATATTTTAGATTGATCCGCCCAGCCCTAGTAACAGGCTACAACAGCAGTCACCGCAACCCATTTTGGGTCGTTACAATACTTGGAGATATTTTCATATGTATGCTGATGTTGCTGGTGTTTCATAATAAATCCTAATATGATCTCTAATAACTTTCTGATAAATTCTGTTGGTTTATTTTCAAAGCAGAGGGACTGTATAATTCTTATCTTCTGAATTTTGCAGAAAATCACATTGATGATTCTTTTTTCTAATTATTTCAACAGATTGTTGTCACAATAAACATATGTATAAGATCAGAGGTCACTACTGACGAACTCAGTGGCCTGGTGGTATGTGTCCTGAGACTCAAAGATCGGGTCATGCCAGAGGCTTTAAAAATGGGACCCAGTGCCTCCCTGTTTGAGACTCAGCTTTAAACAGTTTGATTGGGGGGTTAAACCACCAAATTTTTGTAAAGCGCGTCCGTGTCTGCAGCTCGCTGCTCCCCCAGGGCATGGGTCGAATGCAGAAAACAAATTTCACCTGTGTGTGACGACTAATGGGACTTTAATCTTTAATACGCACTGTTACAGCTGTTATAACAAATCTACAAACAAGCTAGGTTTTGAACGCAAACATGGTCACGGAACAATCACCCCTCCCCTCGGGTATCTACCCTGACACGCTTGCCAGAACCAAAATAACGCGATACCAAAGGTTACGAGATAGTGCTAAACACCAGTCACCATTCTCTAGGTCCAAACGTCTGTTATTGTCCGTGTTTTCCAGTGGGTTTTTTCTGTTTGGGACTCAGGTTGGTCCTAAAGCTGAAGTGGTAGCAGCCGGCTATTTCACCTCTGACATTATTGAGCGGAGTACCTCTCACACCAGTGGTGTTCTGTTGTTTAATGTGTAACGAATGGAGGACCCAGGGAAGTGTGGAAGTGCGGCGGTTTGGTGAGACCAACAATTGGAGCTGCTTTCAGTCTGAAACGGCGTACTGACGGAGGTTTTTAGAGAGAAGCGAGAAAACCACTTTATTATTTTTAGTTTTCTATTAATCTCCATAATATAATTATACTGTAGCTATATTATGTTAGACGGTTGTAAAGAGGCATGAAAACATGTTTTTGGCTAAATTGTTTTCCAAATTTGCTGTAGCAGCTTCAAGTAGATATAAATTTGAAGTAAGCAAAGACACCGTCCTACGTGGATCAAAAATGTCCTGCGTGAGACTCCCATGTCTGGCTTTAAAGTTTTATATATACAAGGCCAAAAGTTTGGACACACCTTCTCACTCACTGTGTTGTCTTTATTTTCATGGCCATTCACACTGGGGGATTCTCACTGAAGGCATCAAAACTATGAATGAACACGTGTGGATTTATGTACTTAACCATAAAAGGTGAAATAACTGAAAACATGTTTTGCTGTTTTCTTCAAAAAGGCCACCCTTTGCTCTGATTACGGGACGACGGTGGCACAGGAATTAAGTGCTCGCCCCGTAGTTGGAAGGTTGCAGGCATGGTATCTGCAGGTTTAAGGGAGCCAAATTTAAGACTTTTTAAGACCTTTTTTAAGGCCACTTTGACCAACTTTAAGCTATCTTTAAAATTAAGTTTATGCTATAATTTCCAGCTATTGCTTGGAACCGGTGCTAACCATGTCGCGAACGTGGGATTAGCCATCCAGTTATCATTAAACCAACACATTCTCACACCCATGGCGTCAAAATACGACGCGTGTGACCAAGCCTCAATATACGACGATTCGGGACGCCCCAGCGCGTCAGGAGACGACGATCAGGGACACGCTGGGACACGTGGCTCCGGTGGCGTCACTGTTTGACGCGAGCGGTCACACGGACATTATTCGACTATTTAACCTTCCCCTCACCCCAATCCTAACCTTAAGGTCCATAAACTGTGACCTTAAGGTTAGGATTGGGGTGAGTGGAAGGTTAAGTAGTTCACAAGTAGTTCTAATGTCCATCTCAGCAGCGGCATCGGATACCGACGCTCTGGGACGCTGCGTCACCAGTGTGTCCCTGATCGTCGTCTCCTGACGCGCTGGGGCGTCCCGAATCGTCGTATATTGAGGCTTGGTCACACGCGTCATATTTTGATGCCTTGGGTGTGAGAATGTGTTGATTAAACTTCCACTTCCCCATGGCGCAAGCTCCCACTAGCTTAACCAGCTAATGTGCTCATCTAAAAATAGCCCCCTTTCACAACCAGCTGAATGTATACGGTTCCGCTTACGCCAACATCACACACAAAAAAGCTGAACACCAACTAGGAAATCACAACAATTTTATAGAAATAAAAGAATCTTGTTTATTGGGTCTTTGGTAATTTAAGACCTTTGGAAACCGTATTTAAGGATTATTAGTCATTTTTAAGGATTTTTAGGACCTTAAATTTGGAAAAGCAAATTTAAGACTTTTTACGACTTTTTAAGGACCCGCGGATACCCTGGCAGGTTCGAGCCCCGCTCAGCTGTCGTTGTGTCCTTGGGCAAAACACTTAACCCACCTTGCCTGCTAGTGGTGGTCGGAGGGACCGGTGGCGCCTGTGTACAGCAAGCTCGCCTCTGTCAGTGCGCCCCAGAGCAGCTGTGGCTACAATGTCACCAGGGTGTGAATGTGTGCGTGAATGGGTGAATGACTGTGTTGTAAAGCACCTTGGGGGGGGGCTCTAGGACTCTAGAAGGCGTTATAACAAATACAGGCCATTTACTATTTACTGCTGTGCACACTCTTGGCATTCTCTTGATGAGCTTCGAGGTAGTCCTTCTAGACTGTTGGAAAACCATTTCAGGCGACTACTTCTTGAAGCTCATCAAGAGAATGCCAAGAGTGTGTAGAGCAGTAATCAGAGCAAAGGGAGGCTATTTTGAAGAAAATAGAATATAAAATATGTTTTCAGTTATTTCACCTTTTTTAGTTGAGTACATGAATCCACATGTGTTCATCCATAGTTTTGATGTCTTCAGTGAGAATCTATGAATGTAAATGGTCATGAAAATAAAGACAACACACTGAATGAGGAGGTGTGTCCAAACGTTTGGTCTGTGCTGTAGATTTGCCACTCACCAGGTTCTCCTCACACAACTCTCTGAACTGTAGAAACTTCTGGGACATCAACTGCTGTGCACTTCCAACAGCACCCCGCATCTTCTCCAGGACTTAGAGCAAAATCACAAAAGGACATCCAAATATTTGTAAGAAAATTTACAGTTTTGTTACTCATCTTCATGTGAATACATATAGCGTAATTTATACATCGTGTGGACTACACACGCGACATCCTGGTGAAACAAAAAAAAACATTATTGATCTAATAAAAAATACATTTTACACAATTGTACTGTTGGTTTATGCTTATACTTTATCTAAGTAATCACACATTGAAAGCTTGACGTGATTGCTGGGTATGGGGGGCAGTGGTGTCCAGTGTTGGCCCTAGAGAACCACATTCCTGCACATTCTTGCATTTTTTCTGTTTCAACTCACCTGATTTATTGACTGAATTACATCTTCTGCATCTGCTTGTGTCAGGCAACACTACTAATCACCCAACGAGTGAATTTCCCCACTGTGGGATCAATAAAGTCTATTCTACTCTATTCTATTGACTCATTTCAAATGTGTTTGAGCAGAGAAATGTCTAATATTTTATCTTAGTCCTCATGGACCAGGATTGGACACCAGAGGGTTAAAGAGTGGTGCATGAAAAGACCTACTGTCTTCGGGGAGGTCATTCTCCCTCTGGTCCAGTTCCATCTGTCTACACCAGCCCTCCATGCGGTCGGTCTCAGCTTGCAGCAGTTTCAGGAACCAGCGTCCATCTCTCTGACAGACCGATCGCTGCACCACCTTTCATGAGATGAATCAAAGCTTTACTTACCATCACAACTCACAACTCGGAGAAGAACTAAGCTTGATTCCTATGGTAAAGTAAAACTATAAATCAAGAAAACCATGCTAAACTTTGAAATTGTTATAATTTAAACTTTAAAGTGTATGTACATGCGCTAAAAATGGTTTCTACAATTCTTTCAATCGGATAAGCAATTTAAAAAAAACATATTGTGCAGTTGTTTTAAATTGTTTGAAAACCGGATGTTGCTGTGAGCTATCACTTACTTCCAGAATAGAAGAGCTATTGAAGCTGGCATCAAGTGAGTCATCAGTTACAGTGTCTATCCAAGGGTCTGGAGGGGGGAGGATGGATGGATCAAAACCAACATCTTCATAGTCATCAGAGGCACAGGCATGATAGTGGTTCCCTGAGCCCTGAATGCTGACAGTGGAGGTGGCAGCATCACGGGAATACTGTCGAGGGATACCGACGGGGGAGCGGATATCCCTGTGAGGGTTAGGGGAGTCAAGAGGCATGTCCAGTAGGTCTGGGTAGTCCAGATCTGCCTGGAGAAAAAAAACAAAAACAAAGTTAAGCTGAGTGAGTAGTTCTGTGACTTACTGCCCCGAATTGGCTCCTCTAAATACTAGACCATGGTCTTGAGTTGGAAAAGAGTGGAATGCCCTCTCCAGGTCAGGGATGAGGTCCTGCTCTAAGTGGAGGAGTTTAAGTATCTCAGGATTTTGTTCACGAGTGAGGAAAAGCTGGATAAGGAGATTGATCGGTGGATTGGTGCTGCGTCTGCAGTGATACATATGTGTTTGTACCGGTCTGTTGTGGTGAAGAGAGAGCTGAAAGGCAAAGCTCTCGACTGACCAGTCGATCTACGTTCCAGCCCTCACCTATGGTCACGAGCTTTGGGTATGGACTGAAAGAATGAGATCTTTCTCTTCTACCTCTTGGAGGGTGCAGTAGCTTTTCTTTCTCCTTCCTTATCTTCCCAAGGCTTTTTGTTCTGTCTGCCTGTTTCCACAGCACTTCTCTGCATTGCTTCTGAAATCGGGAAAATGATTGAAATATGGATCTGGTCAGTTGGTCTTTCAATGCGACTGACAAAATTTTGTCGACACTGAGATTGGAGAAAGGGTCTCCTACATGTCCGGATGGAACGCATCTGGCTGGGCGTATTTTGGAATCCCAGAAGAGGTGGAACATAATATGCTTTTGCCAGCTTTTAGTTGAAGATACTGAAGATTTTTGGATTGATGATTTCCGGATTTCTGCTTTTTGACGTGGGCGGTTATCTGGTATATCAAAAATTTAAGGAGCTTTCGGGGGCGATCGGAATGCTTCCTGAACTCAGGGATGAAGTTTACTGATCTGTGAAAGGACATACTCACGCCTACTGCACGCTGGAAGCAAAAGTGACGCAGAACAGCAGCGGAACGGTTTATTAGCAACAATCACAGCACTCAAGTGCACACCCAGAGTCTCAGGAGTGAAGCGGCTTCTCTGCCATGCTCCTCGCTTGACTCGCAAGATCACAAAATCCCTCAAGATTTCAAAGGTTACGGTTTGTTTATGCAATCCATCATTAAACCAAAAAGAAGGAAATCACATTTGATATTGCTGTTTGACGTTATTTATATATGATGTTGTTCTTCTCCACCGCCAGGATTAAAGCCATGAAAACACATCACTGTACTTCTGGAATGATGCTGTAAGTAAATAAGGCGTTAGGTCAGACATAAGCTTCACATATATGAAATAGCATCACTGCAATACTTTTATTTTGAAAATTACCAGGGATTTTACACTGAAACTGTGTGTGATTTCCTGTCTAGCCCTGTGTTAACTGCGGTAATTGACGCATCCCAGAAGCGCCTTGCGGAAAAAATAGAACTTGATCCTATCTTCAGTGGCGTGTCACTTCTGGGATGCGTCTGAAAATTGCCACGTTGTGACTGGTTTGTTACACTCCATAGACTATAATGGAATATATTTGAGGCAGAGCCGTTTCGCTGTCGTTCCGCGCCGCTTTTGCTTCCAGTGTGCAGCGGGGTCAGGCAATTGTCTAGATGAATCACAAGCTAGAGACTTTGGCTGCGATCCCAGCATTGACGTAAAAAGTGGATGTCATTATGGAAATTATGTATTGTCTTGTTATTCTTATTGTTGGACGGATTGTTCTGAAACTGTAATTTTCACTGTACCGCGATGCTGGTACATTGACAAATAAAGATTCTTGATTCTGCTTTGTTGAAATGATTTTTTCTCCCCAGGGTGTCTAGGCTCTCTCTTAGAGATAGGGTGAGAGGTTCGGTCATCTGGGAGGGGCTTGAAGTAGACCTGCTGCTCCTCCACATCAAGGGAAGCCAGTTGAGGTGGCTTGGGCATGTGGTTAGGATGCCTCCTGGATGCCTCCCTGGTGAGGTTTTCCAGACTCATCCAACTGGGGGGAGACCCAAAGGGAGATCTATAAACATAAATGAATATAAACACATAGATCCAGGACACGCTGGAGGGACTGTGTTTCTCAGCTGGCTGGAGGGATTCCCCCGAAAGAGCTGGCCCAAGTGGCTGATTTCCAGCAGCCATGTGTGGGAGGTCTTAACGGTGGCCACTTCTTCTGCTGGTGGGTGGTGCCTCAGAATTCCTGCAAATCCGCAGCTACCGTGTCAGGGGCGGGAAGTTTTGGGGAGCTGTAGAGTCACACCCGGTGGCTGCCTGGTGGGGTATGGATCCCTGGACTCTGTCGGGTCCCCGGGGAGGTTGGTCGCCCTTAGGTCCTGGGCCGCTGTGTTCTGAGCTCAGACAGGGGTTTAGGGGTTTCTCCGGCGGCTGTCTCTCAGGGCTTCCTGCACTTCGGGGAGACCCTTGGATCTCTTGGGCTTGGAACTCCTCCATCTTCCATACGGTGGCAGGTCTATGCTCACATGGTGCTCTCAGAAGGATGGACTTGGACATTTTCAACACATCATCTGTGTGGTGGCTGTGGTTTGCACTAAATGCACTATGAATTATTACTGTGTGTTTCTCATCAAAAATTGTTACTACTTTATATCCTCATGTTGTTGGCACAGTGATATTTAGATCTTGTTGTATTTTTGTGTACCCCCTTTTTTCTCGCTCTCTTTCTGCAGGTCTAGAAGCAGATTCTTGTTCATCATTGTTTATTTTTGTGAACCCCCCTCCCCCACCTCTTCCTTCTCTCTCTCCCTTTCTCTTACACATCCGTCTCTGTGCCCGTTGGTATTTCAAACAACAGAAAATATTTCTAATAAAATGTTGGTATCAGGAGTGGCATTATAGCACAAGCTGCAACAGCGCAAGCCTTCGCCACGAGCCTTCGTGTAGTTGATGTGAACGCGACCGTACGTTAACAAGGGCGCCGAGTACCAGCGCTCTTCCTACCACGGCGCTTAGCATCGCATCGCCGCTCTTTTGCATCTGATGTGAAAGAGGGGAAAAACCGCAAGGCTTTTCTTCGACATTCAGACATCAATTCTGATTGCTTCACAACCAGACAGGACACGGTTTAAAAAAAAAAGAAAATGAAAAAAGGCAAAGGGAGGATTATTTCATTGCTGTTTTCTTGGGGAGGAAATTAATATATGTATATATATATGTATATGTATATATATATATATATATATATATATATATATATATATATATATATATATATATATATATATATACATATACACATATATATACATATATATATATATATATATATATATAATTTTTTAAAACATAAAACATAGGTTTCATATGTTTACAGTAATCCCTCGCTACTTCGCGGTTCGTTCATCGCGGATTCGCTGCTTCGCGGATTTTTTCTTTGGAGCATTTTTCAGAGGGAATTCACAGATTCGCGGTATTTTTCACTGATTCGCGGTATTTTTCTATGCGAAATATCAAGAAATTCTTGTTTTTTTCATCAATTTCATCATAAAATGCACTTTTTGTAATAAAACTAAAAAAAACAAGTAAAAAAAATTTTTTTCTTGAGTTTTACCCACAAAAAGAGAATGTGATCATATGATAATTCAGTATAGTACTGTATGTCAGACAGGTCAGCTGGATTCGGGAGCTGAGCTTGTAGGGAGCGTGGTTTCACAGACGCAGAAGTGATAGCGTCGGTGAAACGCCGGCTGATCTAGGAAGCCCCTGAGCGTTCGAGCGTCAACGAAGTGACACGGAAATGCCGGGCTTTCCAGAAGTAAGTAAGATAACTTACTATGAGCTGATAGTTCGTTAGATTGATCGGTAGGTTGGAAACTCTGATCATGAATCTGAAGAAACGATGACTGAGTGGTGAGCTGGAAAGGCGACTTCCGTTTATAGCCGCGGTTTGTGACGTAGGTGCGACGTGGAAGGAATCCCCGCGAGGGGCATGCTGGGTGTCCCTACTTCGCGGATTTTCACCTATCGCGGCCAGGTCTGGAACGCATCTACCGTGATAAACGAGGGATTACTGTATAATACAATACTTTTTTTTATTAAAGACAAGAGTTCAAACTTACCTGTACAGCAGCAGTCACGCTGTTTGAGCGCTGAAACCTCCGATATCTAACCACCAGGAAGAGACAAACACAAGACATTAAAATTCTATTGATAGGGAAAAAGTGGTTTTTCGTTGACATTACTGCTTAAAATCATAACTGCCTTTTAAGTAAAACACCTGTTGCTTCATTAAATGTGAGTGTTATCCTGTGCCAGCTTTCCCGTCTCAACAGGGAGGATAACGACATTCCCCAGACCACGCTGTTCTGTGTTATCAGTCACACTCCCATGAGAAATAGAATGTTGACTGAATGCACCTGATTTTGTACGAGGGAGATGTGGCATTGTTTTTACTCCCTACGTTAAACAGCTTTCCACCTGAATGTCTACGGAGCAGTTTAGGTATGTGTTTGTGTGTGCTTTGTTAACAAAAACCCTCAGAGGATGAATGTTCGCTGAGACTGTGTGAACCATGCTTACGGGTCTGTATGATCATTGCTTCACATTTCTCCTTTTGAAAAGAAAACTAAACAATAATATTGCCCTAATTCTCTCTGTGCGTTTGACTTCTCTTTAAGGTGACTTGATATTATTAAAAAATAACCCAACATCTATCATCCTGAGTTTCATGCTACACTGTTACAGCTTACATAATGAAGACTTTTTTAAGGCAGATGTTTAAAAAGTGTTTCTGTATTTCATTTGAAAAGCTTTCAAAAATCTGGCAGGACCCAGAACCAGAAAAAAAATATCCTTTTGAAGATATTGAAAAAGCCAGAGAGCAACAGAGTGCCAAGGTGACAGAAGTGCTCTCATACACACTCGAAATACAGGGCACATCCAAACATGGATTAAACATCTGGAGGCAAATTCACAAAAGAAATACAATGTTCTTATTGGAAGAACTTTACCAGAGTACCTAAAAACGAAACTGAGGAAACACCTTTATGCTTGCTTGGCCAGAGCCACCTGAACACTCCACAGCCCCAGATCATTAGTAATATATTTTCTTACAAAAGAAAGAAAAGCTTCAATCAGCCAGGATTTAAAAGAACATCCAGTACAGCAGTAAGCTCATCTTCTTCTAGCAGGATCATGTCAGCAATTATGTGATACGACACCTGTGACTAAAGTTCTGGAGAGGAGGACGAAACATCAGCATAAGAAACCCCAGGTTTAACACATCACTAGAGACTGGGCTGAAATGCATTGAGCAAAAATGCTAAACCTGACCGAAACTTCTTTCTTCTCAACCACCAACCAGACCTTCAAGAATAGACTATGTAACGGAATGAAATGACTGTTTTCTACCTAAAAGTCATTTTGCCCCTCTCCTCAGCAAGAACTAATCTGCATGAGATATTGCCCCAAGGTCATGCATTTGCTTCTAAACTGTTTTCCTTTCCAGCCCAAGAGAGGAATGAAGATAAAGGACTCTTTCCTTATAATAAATCAAAGAACTCTATTTTTTAATAAAGCTAATCAAACAAAGTGTTAGTCAATAATAAGATGATGACCAATCTGTGAAATGACAATGTTTTGATTAGTAAGTTTAATAAGTAATATGAATTTAATCTAGCTGCATTAGACATGCTGTCTACACGTAATGTAAACACCTGACACATTGCTTTTACTCATCCAATCGGAACCTTCCTGTCTGAAGCATGGCATAGTCTCTGTGGTGTTTATAAATCTGTCCAACTTTGATTTGACCAGAAATCAAAACATCCAGATTAATAAAACCAATCCCCACGCCATCTTAGTTCAGTTCTCTGAGTTCTCTACAGTTCATTGCAGTTCACCGCATTCCAAGAGAAGTATCGGACCGGCCACCCGGACTTCCTTTTTAAGCAAAGAACCAACAAGCTGGATAAAATCTGTTGCCTTTTACCAACCAATCAATGGTTCCTTTCAGAATAAAAGCTGAACTCCCTGACCCTCCGGGTCCATCTGACGCTGTCAACCAACTGTCGCTTTTTACCTGGAGACAATCCAAAGACTAGTCTGTCGTACTGCTGACGCTGTTTCATCGGCTCCTGTACCGAAAGGCGGGTTCGAGGACCTGGCATTCTGCATCTGTACGGAGGTCTCATCCTAATGGTATGTGTGGAGCGACAAAATGGCATCTTATGTGTTTATGAAACTCCGATCATAGCTTAAGAGCAAAACATTACAACATCACTCAAACTTGCTTCTCTGGATACGAGAGTTCTGATGACATAACTCACACATACACTATTCATCTCACGTCTCATTCACACCAAGATCCATTCATTCACTTAGAATTTAGAGGTAGTCTTGTTTAAAATTGTTTAGAAATAAATCTTCTTAAACGTTTTAAAGGTGACTCTCTCGTCTCTCAGTTAATATGAAGTGGTTACATATCTCTTCCTGGCACTCGCGGAGTACAGACGCTTCTCTTTTCGCTCCCTTATCTTTTTTTCCCAAGGCTCTTTGTCCTGTCTGCCCACAGAGCACTTCTTTGCATTTCTTCTGAAAAACCCTATTTTTAACTATGGATTTGATAAACTGGTCATTCAACGCGATTGATGGTTTTTTTCAACAATGAGAACGGAGCAGGGGGCTCCCACATGTCCACAGGGGACACACCCGGTGGAATATATGCTTGTTTCCTGGAGGGAATGGAAGATCATATGCCTCTCCCAGCTGTCCGTTGAGGATATCGAAGATGCGTGGATATTCGGCCTGATGATCACTGGATTTCTCCTGATTGGAGTAGGAGGATATCTGGTTTTCTGGAAATTTGGGAAGACAGGAGCGATTGAAGGGCGACCCGCACCCATGGAAAGCACCGTCCGTGTGGAGACTTCTCAGACTGGGACGTTACTCGAGGTGAATCGTAAGCTGGACAATGTTCTGGCTGCGATACCGGTATTACTGCGCAAAATGGATGTCATCTCGGGGTCACCGGATGATATGGACAAGTTTAAAAACCCAAAATTGGCTTCGCTGATGGACTGGAATGATCAGTTTAAAGACTGAAAGCAGAATGAAAGATGGCTGCTCTCGCTGGGGGAAACAGGATTGTAATCACCTTTCATTTGTTTTATGATATTTTATAATTTTATGACTATTTTTTTCTAATGTTCATTTATTTCTGTTTTAAGATCATGATTTTATGACTTTGTTTTATTTTGTTTGATCAATGTGAAGCTCTTAGTGATTCTATGTCTCTGATGAGTGCTATATAAATAAAATTTACTTACTTACTTCAGCTCAATAAGAACGTGTTGGTTTTGTCTTTTTTTATAGAAACTGCGACCCGATTACAAGGGAATGAAATAATGATCGTACTAGGTGTTAGGTTTTCTTTGTCTTCAACTGTTTAATTTCATTTGGGAGTTTATTTGATTTTGCCTCAAAATAAAAAGCAAATAAGTAAAACAAAGGTGGTTAGACTCTCACCCTCTGTCATCTTCCACCTGTACGCCTACAGAGGTAAACTTGGATGGATCTTCTGGATCTGGAACCTCTTCTGGTCCATCAACCTGCAACCAGAACAGAACAAGTAAAACCTGGTGACATTCTTTCATGTAATGCAGCGGTTCCCAAACTTATTTAGCCGCGCAACCCCTTCTATATCCCGACCATGTCGACGCAGCCCCACATCAGGGCATGGCTATATATATATATATATTTATATATATATATATATATATATATATATATATATATATATATATATATATATATGTGTGTGTGTATATATGTATATGTATATATATATATATATATATATATATATATATATATATATATATATATATATCCCTATAGCCATATATATATAAATATATATATCAGACGTCACGCTAAACAGTCACTCGACAGACAGGGTTAAAAAATATGATCGACCTTTTTCCCCATCACTTTCATTTTTATGTTTATGTATTATGTATTTTTGAAATAGTAATTAATAAACATTCAATACCATTACAATTTCCTTTGATTTAATTTAAAATCAATATTTAGAGTGCCCAGGTAGCACATAAAAAATGCAATTTAATGGTTTTCTTAAAGCAGGACCGTTTAACCAGAGCTCTCTCCTTCCTTCTGCTCTGTATAAACCTGAACTAGCCACCTACTTGTGCGTAATCAAATGTCTACAGGGGAAAAGATGGAAAAGCTATAGCCACGAGGTTCACTTTTGCCTCAGACCGACTTATTGCTGTTTTATGGTGTGGCTGAATCTGCGATCCGCTGCCATGCGGACTGGAATAACAAATGCTGCAGTAACATGAGTTGTAGTCGGGTTCATGAGGAGTCACTGGCTGGAGCGGACTCGATTTTAATACGTCATCCCAAAATAGAAGCTATTATCTTAACTTGACCTTGAATGAAAAATGTTGTTATAAAACGTCAAACGTATTTATCACGTAGGAGGCAGCGCTCATTTCTGCCTTCAGTCTGAGGGCACAGCGCAGCGCCGGAGTTTGCGCATAATGCGCTTGTTGAATCAGTATGTGTGTGTGTGTGTGTGTGTGTGTCTGTGTGTGCGGCACATCTCCATGAGCCGCTCCAGTCACCGCGTCTCGTTATTGGCACTATTTAAACCAATGTTGTAAAATTACTTCTGCCCAGCCCAGATGTGCTCACATGTGCACCCATGAGCCGTGGTTCCGCTGGAACACGTCTGACCTCTGACAGACGCACTCTGAACTTCAGATCTTCAGCGCGCTGTTAATAGCCTGACACGTTTAGAATGCTGTCCCACAGTCAGTGTGCTAGTATAATAATATAATAATGCTAAAATGCTCAGATGGGAATCATTTCTTGATTTATTTTGTTACATCCACAATGTTCTGTGTGTGAGGTTTACAATGTCAGAACACCTGCATGAGACAGGGTGTTAATTACAATCTGCCAGAATGACTCACCACCTTCAGATTTCTCCAACATCTTAAAAATGATCAAATACTGAACATATCATGCTATTAACAGCGTGCGCAGGCCAGAGTGCTGAAGCTCGGACAGCATTATTATTATGAAGCTAGGGCACATGCGGAGGACGCACACACACACACACACACACACACACACACACACACACACACACACACACACACACACACACACACACACACACACACACACACACACATACACACAAAATATACTTGTTTTCAATTGCATTTATTGGGTCCACTTACTTTTTCTTAGGCCCACCCACAAATGAGTTTCTGGCTATGCTAATGGTGACATATGACAGACTTCTCTGAGCTCCGCAGCCATTACACTTTTCACCTCGCGCACCCCCTAGCGACAGCTCGCGCACCCCCAGGGGTGCGCACACCACACTTAGGGAATCCCTGATTTAACGCAAAGGAAGTGCAAGTTTTGAATAAACGTTTCAGCTAAATCACTGTCAAGAACATGGAACTACAGAGTAATACAGTGTGTAAAACACGTCCAAGTTTATCCTTCAAAGATACTGCATCCTCGTTAGAGGGTCCCAGAAACACCATGCAAACAGATTGTTTTCAGCGAGTTTCACACATTATGACCAAAAGACTGTTACTTTGTTGTACTCTGAGTTTTTGGATCAGATCTCAGATTTTTTTAAATCTGATTTGGTGCTAAATACTGATAAGGTCATTGTAGTGGGGGATTTTAACATTCATGTGGACATTGAAAATGATAGCCTCAATGTAGCCTCTAGTAATATCTTAGACTCAATTGGTTTTACTCAAAGAATACATAGCTCCACCCACTCCTGCTATCATACACTAGACCTTGTGCTGACTTATGGCATAGAGTGTGAGAAAATAACGATATTTCCACATAATCCAGTCCTCTCGGACCACTTTTTGACAACCTTTGAGTTTTTTATAACAGTTCTTGAGACATGAAAGTAAATTTCACTATAGTTGGTCTATATCTGACAAGGCTGTTGCATCTTTTAAATCAACTGTCCCGTCTTTACTGTCCTCAGCATCTCAGAGGAACGTAGCAGAGGGCAATGTTTTCTAGCCCCTCACAAATTGATGCCTTAGTTCATAATGTTACTTCCTCTACATGTGGCATTAGATGATGTTGCCCCTTTAAAAAAGAAGGTAATTAGGGACAGGAAGTTGGCTCCCTGGTTTAATTCTCATTTACAAACTTTAATACAAAACTCTAGAAAATTGGAGAGAACATGGCACTCTACACATCAGGATTCCTACTTATCCTGGAAAAATAGTCTTGTGCTTTATAAAAACAAGCTTTGACAAGATAGAACTGCTTATTTTTCAGCGCTAATTGGGGAGAATAAGAACAATCCTACATTTCTTTTCAGTATAGTTGCCAAACTTGCACAGAATCATAACTCTGAACTATCTATTCCCTTAGCCCTCAGCAGCAACGACTTTATGGGATTTTTCACAAGTAAAATTAATTCTATTAGAAACAAAATGATTAGCATCCTCCCTGATGCGGTTTCTTCTTCCTCAGAAGTGAGGCAGCATCAGAGGTAACTGTAGAACCTCATCTGTGTTAGAACTGTTTTGATCCAGTTGAGCTTTCAGAATTATCAAAAATATTAGCTTCATCTAACTGGCTCTCTGTCCAGGGTGTACCCTGCCTGATTGCCCATTGACCGCTGGAGATAGGAACCAGCCCCCCGTGACCCTACGTGGACGAAGCGGGTTCAGACAATGGATGGATGGATGGATGGATGGATTAGCTTCATCTAAACCTTCAACTTGCATTTTAGATCCAATCCCAGCCAAATTATTTAAAAATTCATTTCCTTTGGTTACTGCCCCCACTCTAGATATAGTCAATCCATCATTAGTAAATGAATACATTCCGCAGGATTTTAAGGTTGCTGTAATCAAACCTGTACTTAAGAAGCCTTCTCTGGATCCAAATGACCCAATGAATTATAGACCAATGTCTAACCTTCCATTTTTATCCAAAGTCCTTGAGAAAATAGTGGCCATCCAAGTATGTGAGCATTTAAACACTAATAATCTGTGAGGAATTTCAGTCTGGTTTTAGAGAGAATAACAGCACTGAAACTGCATTAGTGAGAGTTACAAATGATATTCTTGTGGCCTCAGATAAGAATCTTGTGTCTGTTCTAGTCTTGTTAGATCTCAGTGCTGCCTTTGACTTAGTTGATCACAAAGTTCTTTTAGAAAGGCTTGAACATGTTGTAGGGATCAAGGAACAGCGCTAGGCTGGTTTAAATCCTACCTGTCTGATAGATTTCATTTTGCAAATGTACATGACAAATCTTCCTCATACTCCAGGGTTACTTGTGGAGTACCACATGGTTCAGTGCTTGGACCAATTATTTTTTCTATATATATATGCTCCCAATTGGTAAAATCATTAGACAACATGGGATACACTTCCACTGTTCTGCTGATGATACTCAGTTATATCTATCCATTAACCTTGATGAACCTAATTGGTTAGTTAGATTACAGACTTGTCTTGAAGACATAAAAAATTGGGCGACTCAAAACTTTTTGCTTTTAAATCAAGACAAGACTGAAGTTCTCATCTTTGGACCCGGAATTCAGAAAAGGAAATTGCTTAGTCAATCACCTGACCTGAATGGCATTAAATTAGTATCCGAAAACAAAGTAAGGAACCTTGGTGTTATCTTTGACCAGGACATGTCATTCAAAGCCTACGTTAAAAAGGTTTGTAGGATTTCCTTTTTCTGCCTTTGGAATATTGCTAAGATTAGAAGCATCCTTTCCAAGAGATGCTGAAAAACTAGTTCATGCATTTGTTACATCAAGACTGGATTACTGTAATTCATTACTCTCAGGAAGTCCACAGACTGCAGTTAAAAGTCTTCAGGATGTCCAAAATGCTGCAGCTAGAGTTCTATTGAGAATTAAAAAGAGAGATCATATCTCTCCTGTCTTAGCTTCCCTACATTGGCTGCCTGTTAAATTCAGAATAGATTTTAAGATCCTCCTTCTCACACGTAAAGCTCTTAATAATCAAGCTCCATCATACATCAGTGATCTGATTGTTCCATATGTTCCTAACCGAGCACTTTGCTCTCAGACTGCAGGTTTATTGGAGGTTCCCAGAATATCTAAAAATAGGACGGGAGGCAGATCTTTTAGCTTCCAGGCTCCTCTCTTGCGGAACCACCTCCCAGCTTTAGTCCATGAGGTAGACACCTAGTCTACTTTTAAGACTAGGCTTAAAACATTTTTATTTGATAGGGCCTATGGTTAAAATCTGATGTTAGCCTAGATCTGGACAAGTGGGGGAGTAGAGGGAGGTGGAGTGTACAGTCGGTAAAGACGGCTCTCCCTTGCCTGCCTCCAACATGCCTCCATCTAAAAGGCTAGGTTATCCAGAGTTGACTCAGTAGTTATGCTGCTATAGGCTTAGACTGCTGGAGGACATACTGACCACATTCCACACACTACTATTTTCTTCTACAATTTGCTCTTTAACTCTTTTATTTCCTGCTATTTCAGCTGTTAGCTTTATTTTTTCTCAAAGTGTTTTTCTCCCCAGAAGAAGCTACAAT